GGACAGGGAAGGGCTGCAGCCAATACAGGGTCGTTACTATGAATGTGAGCAACTGGGAAACCTGAGACCCAGGGGTGAGGCGTCAGCAGTTTGTTAGTGAGACAGAGGCTGTTGGGGGGGGGGGCGCCCCTTAACACACATGCTGGGGGGGAGGGTGGGGGGTGGGGGGAGGCAGTGCTCCCTGAACCAGAAAAAAAGCCCCAGGCAGAGAGTTGCAGGTGTTCTCAGTAAACAGCTCTCAGAGCTCCATGCTGTCCAATAGGCGGCCACGAGCTCCGTGCTGTCCAATAGGCGGCCACGAGCTCCGTGCTGTCCAATAGGCGGCCACGAGCTCCGTGCTGTCCAATAGGCGGCCACGAGCTCCGTGCTGTCCAATAGGCGGCCACGTGTGGCTCGTTACATCTGAATGAATTTAAGTGAAATAAAACGTGAAACTCCGTGTCTCCGTTGCAGTGGCCAGATTGCAAGCGCATCTCTATAACACGGACAGAAGAAGTGCTCGGAGAGTTGTTGTGAGTAGATTGATAGATTTGCAGATCCTTTGTATGTGTAAGAAAACACACACTTATTAGTTGTAAAAACTCAATAAGTACATGCTGAACGTATTTGCATTATTTTTTTTAATTATTTATGAGAGAGAGAGAGAGAGAGAGAGAGAGAGAGAGAGAGAGAGAGAGAGAGAGAGAGAGTTGTTCCACTCATGCATTCGTTGGTTGCTTCTTGTATGTGACCTGACTGGAGAAGGGACCCGCAACCTTGGTGTGTTAGGACGATGCTCAAATCAACTGAGCCACCCGGCCAAGGCTGAACGTATTTGAATTATTTTGAGCTTCTGCTTTCTCATCTGTAAAGTGGGGATAAGAATACTACCCACCTATAGGGTCATGATTTCAGCTCCAATAGGTAAAAGGCTTAGCCCAGGACCCGGCATGTGTGAGCGTTTAGTAACTATTGGCTACGGAAGTAGCTTTACTGTGACCTTTGCTTAAGCTCCCGGCCCTCGCTTGCATCGGTCCCTTCCAAGAGCCGGGGGGGAGCGCTTACTCATTGTACACAGACCGCTGCCCGTTTCCGGTTGGACTTCCCTCCATCACACCTCCACCGGGCGGGGCAGGATGAGAGCAGCCATGGCCATGTTTGCGGCCTGGCGAAGGGGAAGTGGAAGTGCGGATCTCATCAGTCTTTGTTGAAGGGTGTGCTAGTATGTGTATATGATTTGTAGCCACGTCCGTGCTAAGCTGGTGCTTGCCACCACACGCGATGACTTCTGGGAACATTCCTACTCCCCTCTAGGGTGGCTTGCCCAGAACTGTGACTCGAAGGTTCACACCAGAGGTCATTTCAAAATAGAATTGTGTCTGTCCTGGGTATCTATGGTGACATAGAAGTCATCCCAGAACTCAGTGACTTAAAACACCAGCAATCGCCTGATCTGCGTGGCTCAGGGGTTGAACGTCAACCTATGAACCAGGAGGTCACGGTTCGATTCCCGGTCAGGCACAGGCCCGGGTTGTGGGCTTGATCCCCAGTAGGGGGCCTGCAGGAGGCAGCCGATCTGTGATTCTCATCATGGATGTTTCTATCTCTCTCTCTCTCTCTCCCTCTCCCTTCCTCTCTGACATCAATAAAATACATTTAAAAAAAGAAGATCATGATGGATGAGAGATGTCGTTGTGACCATTTTGGAAAATACAATCTTCCCAGTGTCCTGTGGCTCCCAGCCCCCGAAGCCTGTAGGTCGTGGCGAGAAACGGAGCTTGAAATGTGCAGAGCCAGGAGCTAGTCTGGGGGAAATCTTCCCATCACCAGATGTGGGAAATTGTAAATGACGAATCCCATGCTCATCGATGCCTAGTCACGATGGAAATTAGCTTCCGTCAAGAATATACTCAATAATGCAGTGTATGCAATTAATAACGCACCATCTACTTTTATTTCTTTTCTGATGGCAATTGCACACAATAAGATTAATCAGAATTCATGTGTTTGTGGGGCACGGAACTGAAGCAATCCTACGAACACAAGCACGTGTGTGCGGAGAGCAGGCAGGTTTCTGAGCCCGGGACTTCAGATTGCATTTGAGCATATCTGACACATCTTGTCCTGAAGTCTGATGGATCCAGAAAAAACGGCAAACAAAATTGCTCCTGATGCAACCAAACTGCCTGAAGAAATGAGTGCTCCAGCACAAAGCCTACGTGCTCATCAGCACAGTAACGTGGATAGCATAAGGGTGGTTTAATTTTATTATGCAATTATGTAGCTCAATATGTACACCTTAGCTGCATATCAATTTTGTGTATTTTTTTAGAATTACTCATCAGACCCAAATTCAAATAGGAGAGGAAAAACGCAGCAACTTCGTAGTAGCCAAAAACAAACAGAAAAATCTACAGATGCTTTAAAATGTCACTCTGTGCCTGGCCTCGTGGCTCAGTGGTTGAGCATCGACCTATGAACCAGGAGGTCACGGTTCGATTCCCGGTCAGGGCACAGGCCCGGGTTGCGGGCTCGATCCCCAGTGTGGGGTGTGCGGGAGGCAGCCGATCCATGATTCTCTCTCATCATTTGTAAATATGTCTCTCTTCTCCACGTCCAGCGCCACTAGAGAGCGGTCCGGTTCCTGAGTAGGGGCAGCTGGGGATTGAGAAAATGAAAGAAAGAGACAGACACAGAGATGGAAGAAAAAAGCTGGGGCAAGGTGGGACCACTGTCCTCTGACCAGGACAAGGACAGAGACTCAGAGCCCATACAGCGTGTTTATTTTATACAGCAAAAAACAGGAAGTTTTACTATAAATCAAGACAAAGGAGATTATGTGCATTCTTGGGTGGGCCCGTATTCATCCCTGGTGCTTGGCTGGATCTAAATAACACCTGGGCTGAAGGTCAAGCTGACAACACTCCTGCCTCTGGCAAAGCGTGTTTCCAGGATGTGGCTTTGCCAATGCCACTGGCTTCAGCTGACGATAATTAAAGAAATGCCCATGTGCCTTCCCAGGTGCTCTCTACAATCATTGATGTTTCTATCTCTCTCTCCCTGTCCCTTCCTCTCTGACATCAATAAAAATATATTAAAAAAAAACAACAAAAAGCAAAATGTCACTCTGTGATTACATCACAGTGGAAACCAATGACCAAGGCCGACTTGGGAGCCTGAAGGAGTCTACAGCCCTACGAGTAATTTTATAAACGGAAAACAAGCATGTGAACCAATCTTTCTATTGTCTCGAGAGAAAATGATATTAAAAAATTGTCGCCATATGAAAAGGCAGCCACAGCTGTGCAGCCCAAAAAAGTAGGAAAAAAGGAATGAGACAGTTGATTAATAAAAATATTATTTTTTTTTTCTGGATTTTGTGAAATGTGAGGTCTTCATGAACCTTTAATTATTGCAATTTATTATTTTTTTTTTCATTTAAACATTTACTCTTATGCTAGGTTTTGTATTTGCAATTTTGTGTTCTTTTTCTTAAGGACAGTCCCCTAAGTGTTCAATCTTCAGACACCACTATTAGCCACAATTGGCTCCTATTGGCTGTTGTTGTTATTAATATTTTATGATGATAATAGAGACCATGCATGTGGCAATTTATTCACATGAGAAGATGGATGATAAATTGCAATCAACTCAAACTGGTCTCCTTCTCTTTTCTTTTCCAGGAGGAATGGCTAGAATGGGGTTGAAATACCCATATTAGTCACCTCTGGCTGGCATAACAAAGAACCGCAGGCTGGGTGGCTTAAACAAAAGAAATGTATCGTCTCCCAGTTCTAGAAACAAGAAGTCCAAGATCAAGGTGTCAGCAGGGATGGTTTCTTCTGAGGCCTCTCTCCTTGGCTTGTAGACAGCCGCCTTCTCTCTGTGTTTTTGCATGATTTTCCTTCTGTGTGTGTCTGTGTCCTAATCTCTTCTTATAAGAACACCAGTCAGATTGGGTTAGGGCCCTTCCATATGACCTCATTTTAACTCAATCACCTCTTAAGGGTCTTATTTTCAAATACAGTCACCATCTGAAATAATGAGGGTTAGGGCTTCGATGTATGAATTGGGGGAGGGACACAGCTCAGCCCACACAGTAGGGCCTACCGTAGGCCCCCAGAAGGCAGAAAATAGCCCCAGCTGCCCTGTCTAAGCTGCTCAATTAGTGCTTCCAAGCCTCACTCAGCTCTGAGTCACCAGCTGGTGTCATCAAAGGCCCCGGCTTCCTCCACACGAGCCAGTCATGCTAAGCAGTCCTGGCAAGGGAGCCAGATTGTGGCAGGAGAACCACAACCTCCAGCCGGAGAGGGAAAAGCCCTCGGTAGCTGCTCACTGACAGCAGGAGCCCTTTTAGCTCTATTTTAAGACGCTTTAGAGTGTTGCACATGGGGCCCTCTCTCCAGAAACGATCTCCTGTCTTGCATTGGGAGGCACTTCTTGGCTCAGGGCAGGCTCAGAGTCCCACCTCTGATGCCAACTTAGTGGCAGCCACCCAGGCTAGGAACTGCGCCTCATCTGCATGATACCAGCTCTGATTAAAGTATTGCCAGCACATTCACTCCACTGTCTGGCGGATGTTTAATATCCACTGAGGTGGCCTCTACCCACGCTGAGCTGCCTGCCTGGTTAGTCCAACTTATCTCCATCAGGACCAATTAGTTTGCTACCTTAGGGGCTCCCATCTGATCGGGATCATTAGTGGTCGCCATTAGTGACTGTGATTGGAGGAGAGGGAGAGAGCGGCAGCTCTTGGCCCAGGGTGAAGCTTGAGCAGGACCCTGGCTCCTCCTGGAAAGCCAAGAAGTGCCAGCCAGCACCGGGACTCAGGTGCCATTTGCCCAACCCTGTGCTGGGAACCTGACAAATGACTGACCCCCATAAGATTCTTAAGAAGTGACTAGTGTCCTCATTTTCCACATAAAACAAGTGGGCTTCAGGGGGTGATAATGACAATCCCGGTTGGGAGGGAGTTGAGAAGCTGTTGCGTCCAGTTTCTTTCTCTTTTTTCCCTAGGGGAGAGTGTGAACACAGTCTCCCCCCCCCCTCACCACACACACACACACATCATGCAGTCGAGTGGGGAAATCGCCGGGGCCTGCACATGCGGAGTGCAATGGGTAAGCCTCGCCCTGGAAAACCATCTTCCTGATCATGGCATCTCCCCTGCCAGGTAAGTATGGCATCCAATTTCTTTATCTTACAGAGTAATGTTAAGGCACACAGTACAATGGCCACGCCAAAATCATTTGTGACCCTCTTTTCCAGTATCTGCTACCACAGAAGCTGAAAAACAAAAATGATCCTCTTCTCAGATGCCCTTGCAGCTGGGTGGAGGACACGTGTCCACGTTCTGGCCAGTGAGGTATCAATAAAACTCACAAGTTGAGGCTTTCAGGGAAAACAGAACATTCCCCCTTTAAAGCACCCTTTGTCTTTTGCATTTCCCTTTCTTTCTGCTGGAAAGACAGTTGCAATCCCTGTAAATGCAGCATCCAGTCACGAGGATAAAAGCCCCATGGTAAGGATCGAAGATCAAGAAAGTAGGAGATGGGGTCTTGACAACATAGTTGAGCCATTCTGCCAACCTGGATTTTCTGTTGCATGAGACAAAATCTATATTATGTTTGCCACTGTAAGCTGGGTTTTCTGTGAGCTGCAGGAAATTTTGTCCTAACTGATACAAGCATTCAGATGTCATTCCTGGACCTGTGTTTTTCCTGCAAGGACAGTTTGGCTGGATATAGATTTTTGGTTGGCAGTTTTCTTTCAGCACTGTGAATATGCCATCTCATGGTTTCTGATAGGAAATCAGCTGTTAATTTCTGTCTTGGTTCAGGCTATTATAATAGAACTAGAGGCCCAGTGCACAAAATCATGTGGGTAGGGTCCCTAGGGCCTAGCCTCCTGCGATCAGGGCCATCTTCTGCCCATTTGCCAGTCCCCAGGCCGAATGCCGCCTCCGCCGCCAGGCTGTCAGGCTGTTGGGATCACCAGCTCATCCCCGGCTGCTCAGGGGCTCAGGCCTGCAGGAAAGCAGGTGCCCAGGCCTGCAGGAAAGCAGGTGCCGGCGACTTCACCTCCATGCCCGTGCGCCGCGCCGGCCACTGATGGAACATGCTGCCCACTTGGCGCTGCTCATGTGGGCACCGCCACCACCACTGCTGCTGCTGCTGCTGCTGGGACTTGAGGCGCTGACGGAAGCCGTGGGGCACGCCCGCAACCTACCCGCCCCGGTGGTGTGAGCAGCCCCAAGCGGGCAGTGTGTTCCATCAGCGGCCGGCCCGGCACACGGGCATGGAGGTGAAGTCACTGGTGCCTGCTTTCCCACAGGCCTGAGCCCCCGAGCAGCCAGGGATGAGCCGGTGAGCCCAACGGCCTGATAGCCAGCCTGGTCCTCCCACCACCCACCCCGATTCCCCCATTCACCATCGCTGATCCATCAGAGCCTGCGGGCTGGGGGCAGGGACCAAGGTCAGCCATTCAGCCCGCTCGCAATCCCCAGTCCCGCCCCACCCCGCTCGCGCAGGCCGGGGGTGGGAGGGACCACCTCATGGTGACTGGTCGGTTGGTCGTCACAGACACTGGCTTTTTATATATATAGATACTGTAGACTGAGTGGCTTAAACAATAGACATTTATTTCTCATAGTTCTTAGGCTGGAAGTCCAAGATCAGGGTACCAGCATGACTGAGTTCTAGTGAGAACTCTTCCTGGTTTCCTTGCATGGTGGGGAGAGATGGAGGGTAGGGGTAAAGGAGAGAGGAGGAGAGAGAGAGAGGGAGGGAGGGAGAGAGAGAGACAAACATCAATGATGAGAGAGAATCATGGATCGGCTGCCTCCTACATGCCCCACACTGGGGATCAAGCCTGCAACCGGGCATGTGCCCTGACCGGGAATTGAACCGTCACCTCCTGGTTCATAGGTCCACGCTCAACCCCTGAGCCACACCGGCCGGGCCAAGGGCAGTTGTTGGTATTTTGAAGAAGGGCCAAGAAGCCCTATAATCATGTCTCTTAACTAGAGTAACCCTCTCTGCCTAATGTTCACGGGCAGGCGGTCAAGCATGCAGACCCCGCCCCCAACACCAACGTACACATACAACTGGACCCGGGTTTCCATGCTCATGACTACAACATGTGCCCAGATGTTCTTATAATAAATCATATATGCGAAGACACACCTGAGCCGCAACGCTCCCAGGAGCCCTCTGTGCACACACACAGAGGGTGGGCAGTCTCTCCTCCTGCAAGACTGGTTTCCAATGAAAATGCAGCCACCCTGTGATTGACAAGCCAGCTAGTAGCTTCATTCAGTTAGAATCCAAGATGCCATTACCATGGCGACCACCGTCCCTAGCAGCGCTGTTACCTTCCGGCTGGGAGTTGGCTGTCACACCTGGGAGCCTTTCCTTGGAAGCCACCCCTTCTCCCGAGAGTGGCTTTTCCTCGCCCCAGGGCCTTGCTTCTCTGTGGTGAGGGAGGTGTTAAGGAGAGTTGGGCATTAATCAAGCTTGTGGACTCCTGGAACCTTCTAGCTACTCCCCTGGGTGTTGATGTCATGCCTAGCCAGAGGGAATATCTTCTCCACAGATCACCCTGAGGCTGGGCTATGATCACACAATCTTGTTGTTTTTTTTAATTTAACACAAATATATATTATTGATTTCAGAGAGGAAGGGAGAGGGAGAGAGAGATAGAAACATCAATGATGAGAGAGAACCATGGATCGGCTGCCTCCTGCACGCCCCCCACTGGGGATCGAGCCCACAACCCGGGCATGTGCCCTTGACTAGGAATTGAATCTGGGACCCTTCAGTCTGCAGGCCGATGCTCTATCCACTGAGCCACACCAGCTACGGCTATGATCACACAGTCTTTGAACTGAAGGGTACAGCTCTCAGTGGGTGCACTGCTCATATCCCCCGCTTTAAGACTGAGGGGTCGTTCCTCTTGCTGCGAGGGTGTCAGGGGCTGCTGAGAGCTCTCAGTTGAGTCCCTCTCTAGGAATTACCTGCCACCCAAGAGATCTGACTCACCCCAAATCACACTCTGTCCCCTGGGGGCAGACCCCATTCAGTGACTGCTCAACTGGGGCTACAAAGGCTCAGCCTCTCACCTTAATCCAGGACCACTCTGTAGGGCCACCCTGGTTCCAAGGCTCTCAGAGGATGCTGGGAGGCCTCTGTTATGACTGTGCCACAGCTGAGACCCTCCTCTTTCTACTCCTGCTTCCCTGGCTCTTATAGATATTGACCCTGGAGTGTGTGTTGGGGGCTGGGTGCAGCCAATGAAAGAGGTGCTCAGAGGAGCTTTCTGTGCCTTCTCAGGCTGGAGCCAGAAGGAGCAAAGGCAGTCCCCAGACACCGCCGGCACACACATACCAGGAGGCGGAACTCACTGGGGGCCATGTTGAAGGCTGGTGTGGGGAAGTACAAAGACAAACTAGAAGTCACCATGACAGCTAGAACCCATATTTCACCAGCTCTAGTCTCCGTGGTGTGGGTCACCTGCAGGAACAGCTGGCTCTCAGCCATGACTGCACAGGTACCCGGCCCAGGACCCAGAGAAGCCAAAGGAGAGGATCCAGCTAGAGCTGGGGAGCCAATGGCCTGGCTGTTCCCTGGGGCCAAAATGGTGGGCCAGCAGATTGGCAGCCACGTGCTGCATGCCTTGCAAGAGTGCTGACTCACTCAGAGTTGCAGAATATAAAAGTGGCTGTTGCTTCACCTCTGCCTTCCAAATCTCACGCACTTTTCTCCGACAGCCAACCCAATGTGGATGGGTGAGAAGAAGGGAATTCTGGGAAATGTAGTTCTAGCCTAACTAAGTGGCCACAGGGTAAAGGCACCAGGAGGCTGGAGCGTGTGTTGGGGGCTGGGTGCGGCCAATGGAAGAGGCGCTCATAGCTTTCTGTGCCTTCTCCTCAGGCTGGAGCCAGAAGGAGCAAAGACAGCCCTGGGTGAGCTGGGATCTGGCAGCAAGTAACATGGAGACCTCAGTCTTCGCAGAGCCTCCGGGAAAGGCCCTCACCTCCCCAGTTCCCTCTCCAGGCCCATTACTGACCCGCTCTGGATTAAGCCTCTTTCATTCGGGAGGGGTGGGGGGGGGGGGAGGGATGACAGATGGATGATTCGAAAGCTGATCCAAATGAGCTGGAGAGGACAATAATTTCTCCCTACTTCACATCAGTACCTTAGCGAGCCAGATGGAAATCACGCTTTAATGGCCTGGTCGCATCTGATAACGGGGCCACTCATACTCTTAGCCTGATGTCTCTGGACTCCGAAATGCCTCCCACTAATATTCCCCAGAGAGAGGCAAAATGGCCTAAAAGATGACACAGCAGCACCTGGTGTGTCATTTCAGAAAGCCCAAACATCTCCCCTGCTGGCCTACTCAGGCCTGAAAACCCCGCGTCGCAGTATTAACCTGCCAGCGCAAAGCTCCCATTATCAGTCATTTCTATTCCCTAGTGCAAATGAGATCTGGAGAGGCGTGCGGCATAGGGTAAGTGAGGGAGCATTAGACACTTGACAGGGACGGAAATGGAGAGCCCTGATGAGGGGTGTGAAAGACATCATTGTCTGTGTTCGCCAGCTCCCGTGGCATTTGCCTTTTTCTGGAATCACAGAAAGACTACACATCCCAGCCTCACTTGAAGTGAGACTGAGGTCATGTGATGGGGTTCTAGCCAAGAAGATGTAAGCGGAAATAATGAAAGCCACTCCTCCCAAGCATTGCCATTAAAACCATCTCCTGCACCCTGGCCTGTGTGCTCAGTGGTTAGACACGGAAGGGTCTCTGATTCCATTCCCAGGCAAGGGCATGTACAAGGGCTGCAGGTTCAATCCTTGGCCCTGGTGGAGGCAAACGTGGGGAAGCAACCGATTGATGAATCTCTCTCACATCAATGTTTCTCTCTTTCCCTCTCTCATTCCCTCCCTTCTTCCCTTCCACTCTCTCTAAAAATCAATGGTTAACCAAAGAACTTATATACATATATACATAACCCATGGACACAGACAATAGATAACAAATATCCAATCGATCCTCATTTGCCGTGGATTCCGTATTTTCAAATTTGCATACTCACTGAAATGTATCTGTAACTCCAAGATCAAAACTCCCCTAGCTTTTGTGGCTGTTTGTGGACATGCTGAGGTCGAACAAGAGGACGC